TAATGGTTAATTAATCACTAATTTATCATAAAAATTAAATCACATAAATAAAATATGAATTATTTGTCCAACTCTTGACTCCCACACACTGAAGGCTCCTTCACTATGTGCAAAATATTTAAATCATGTATATATTACTCTTTTATTTTGTAAAAGTGTTTTGAGCTACTATTGTTGTTATTGTTGATCTTGTTGTTGTTATGTCTATGTAAAATTTAATGCTTACCTACAATCAGAATACATTTTTAATTATTAAGGCTTTTATTTTTCAATGTATTGCATTGTGGCTGTAATGACATGCCTTTTAGTCTTTTATTATCTTAAAAATATATTAAATATTAATTAAAATTAATAAAATTATATAAAAATTAATTAAAAGTTATTAAAAATTAAAAATTTATATTTTTAGATAAATTAATATGTAAAAAAAATTTTATACAAAGTATTGTCAAACAAAAGTTAAGAGTTACAAATGATGAGGTCAGTGAAAAGTATGAGTTAATTGTATTTCCATCTCACAACTCACATTAAAAAGTACGTATTTGCCTTTTTTTTAAAATTTATTTCGGTGTTCTTATTTTTAAGTGATACAATTATTAATTACCAATTGCTGGAGGTTACCAAAGAAAATATTATTAATTTTGTAAAATCTCTATTTTAGTCTAACTTCAAAAATGGATTTCTTTGTTAAAAAATGAAAATGTTCCATTGATAATGTTTGTTGTCATGAATAATGAAGGTTAAAATAAATTTTTAAGATAATTTTCTAATAATGTTGATCACAGTGTGAACCTTATATATAGATTCACATCAATAATGAAAATAATTTTACCTTAAAATTTAATTACAAGAATTATTTCAGGTGTTCATGTTTTTTAATTTAGAAAGAGTAATGCTATTGGGATCGATCAGTCACAAGTCGATTGGTCCCTCTTGCTTCTTTATTTTTACTTTTTAAATTTGATTTTTGTTTTTTGGTTTTATGTCTAAGTCTTGTAGAGTTGTAGTTTTTAACTTTAAATTATTTAAGTTGTTAAACACTTAAATCATTTAAATATTAACTATTAAAATTTAAAAATTTAAACCCAAACACATTAAACACTAAATTTTAAAAAATTTAAACCCTAAAACTATAAGATATTGAATTTAAAAAATCTATCTCTAACACTTTAAACACAAAATTTTAAAATAATTTAAACACGAAATCTTAAAAAATATAAATTCTAATATCTTAAATACTAAATGCTAAAAATGTTAATATAAGAGGATAAAAATAAATTTATATATTTTTTGAACAAATATAATTTTTGAAAAAAAGAAAAGAATTTAAATTTAACTGACAAGGCTAAAAGATATTCCTTCAACTAAACCATTATAAGGTAAGGGGCAAAAATAAGGTTAAATTATTAAAAGGAAGGACTAAATAATAAATTTTAACCGAAAAAAAAAAGAAAAAGAAAAAGAAAAAAAACCTATTGGTGCCACGGAGGGCGGCCTCCGTCGGCTCGACCGGAGGGTCAGTCCCCCTATCATTTTCCATATAGAAATGTTTAAAACGTGAGGCAAAGGTTTAGTTTGACAATTTTATATGTAATTGTAGATATAATTTTTTTTTTTATTTTTTAATATCTTAAAAGTATATACAATATATTATATATTTAATATTTATTTTAATTAATATTTTATATATTTTTGAAATAATAAAAATACATATAAACTAAAAAAATATAAGAAAATATTGTCAAATGAGAAAGAAAAAAAGGAGAGTTCTGCTACACTTGCCTTAGACAATATGTATAGTACCTAAGTCACTTGGTGAAACTTATAATGATGCAAAATTAAAATTTTTTTATTAAAAACATTAAATTTGAGTCTTAAAAATTATGAAAAAAATTTATATTTTATTATATAATTTATTATAAATATATATAATAAATAATAAATAAGACATTGGAAGGTTCGTGCTGAGTTTGATTCTATTACTTTTCAACATACACTCTGTGAGGAAATTCTGTTGTAGATATATATACTCACGAATGGGTTAATGAATTGGTAAAGAATTTTTTTAGTTTAATTAAAGATTTTGATTTTAAAATTTGAAAATATAATTTCATTAAAACTCATGAAAAAGAGTTTTATCATCCGTTGAGTTCTATTCGAGTCGAATTTAAATTAATCAACAATTTAGTGAGCTTTCAGATATTCGACTGATTTATATATATAAAAAAAAAAAAACTGTTGTTGACATATTGGTTGGAATTGGCCATACCTTGCCCAATTGGAACCACTGTCTACGAGTCTCCACCTGCTCGATTGAATTTTTTTTCCTTGAAAGGGATATGATCGGACTTTTCTCTATGTAATTAGATGCACTTCTCTTTCATTTGACCTCCATATACTTCAAATATTTTCTTCATGAAAAAAATAAAACGACGTTCATCTTGGAACAATTAATATATATTATTTATTATTTAGGGTATTTTTAGATAAATTTATATATTTTTTAAAATTAATTTTTTAATTTAATAAAAAATAAGTTATTTATAACATAATTAAAAAATTATAAATAATTAATTTCTTATTAACCTTGCCAAAAAAATTAGATTTTTATCAATAATAAAATTGAGAAACGAAACCCTCATCAATCAAGCCACGTCTGCTTGCGTACAATTCAAATATTCTTGCGTGTACGTATAGTAATATACGTGGCGCATCCTAGGTTGACCGAATTGACCGACCCCAGCAGGCCGACAAAAAGATGCCGTTGCCGTGGCACGTCGATGTATTTCTTTTTCTTTAACGATTTAAGTTTATTTTAGTCCCCTTGCTATAAACTAATATTGGGAGGATTTCAAATTTTTGGGGTTTTGTGTTTAAGATATTAAGGTTAGTATTTAAATTTTTTAAAGATTTAGTATTTAAGGTAATTGTGTTTAAATTGTTTAGAGTTCTACATTTTATGATATTAAAGTTT